AGAGCAAGAGACCCGAGAACTAGAAAGGCGAGGTTTACTGAGCCATTTATCTCTCTGCCCTTCAATTAACTCCATATGTGTTTATTGGCCAGGTTGGCACAATTAACTTTTAACTAACTCATCATCTAATTCCATAGTTCAATCACAACAAGAAGAGTTGTACAGTCATTACCACAATCAGTTTTAGAACATTTTCTTCATTCTTGTACTCATCGTCATTAGCTCCCCATTTCCCCCCAACCTCCCCTGCCACACCGCCAAGGAACCATTAATCCAGTTCCTGTCACTGTAGATTTACCTATCCTGGATTTCATATACAGAAACATCAAACAAAATAATTCTAGTAATAATAACAAAACAAAACAGATTTAAAACCTTTCTCTCTCTCTTTCTCTCTTTCTCATGGAAAGTCTTTTTCTCCTGGCCCCTCAGCTTCGCTTGTGGCTTCTCACAAGGACCCGTTCCAATCAGCATTCCCAGGTCCTCAGAGTTCAAGCTTACAGCCAAGCCTGGAGTTAGGCATCTGCATGGTAATGCTTGGAAAGGTGAAATCCAATTCAGCCCTTATCAAATATCCACTGTGAGCCAGATGTGTGTTGGTGGCGGCAAGATGCAGCCAGATGTGGTTCTTCCCGTTAAGGTCGACACCATCTACTGGCAGCGCCGAAAGCGCTTTCACGTCAGAAAGAATTCCCACACACTTCAATGCGACAGAGCCTTTCCCTTGTGTTCTGTGACTACGCTGGTTTGTCCTCTCTTTAGGAGGGAGCATTGGTGAACTCTCCAAGTTCAGCAGCAGCTGGCACGCCACCCCCAGCCCCACAAGCACAGACCAAATGGGAAGCTCAAGTGCATCGGCTGGCTGAGGCGAGGATCTGTAGACTGCCCGGAAGGCTCCGTGAGTAGAGGGGAGGCGAACAGCTGGGTTTTGGCAGCATGTGAGGTAGGAGCTCCTCTTATCTAAGGACTCACTTGCCTCCAGTGTGTGATTTCCTTGCTGGGTTTCCTTGACCTGGAAGCCAGAGAAGGTAAATGTGAGTTCTTGAAGCAGAGAACTCATACTGGGTCAGCGTCATGCAGGTCTCCAGTGGTCTCCGCAGGGTGGGGACTGGATGAGCCAGTGGGTGCCTTGTACCCTGAAGACAAAGAGTTTGGGATGTTAGCCGGAAGGGCCTGCTCAGCGAAGAGTTCTAAACATTCATGGGCAGCCTTCTTCTCAATACTTACGTTGAGTTAAACACTAGCCTTAATTTTGATGGTTACAAAAAGTTGCATGGCTTGTGGTAAAAATTGGGAAATGACAGAGAATAAGAACACGTAGAATAGCTAGATCCATGCAGAGATCACCACTAGAAATGGATCGGCTGTCGTTTTGTTGCCTGTGGAAATGGGTTCCCAGGGAGCCGGCTGTCGACCCCAAGCCCAGGCATCTGGCTCCCGAGCCTGTGCACTGAACCGACACACTTAGGATGAGACGTGGGCTTCTTGGGCAGGATGGGTGGGTCCTAATCCGTGTCACAGACCCTTCCAAAATGTAGTGGCTTGAAACAGCAACAGTGCTGGATTCTCCCTCAGGCACCTTTGGGTCAGGCCTCTGGGAGCGGACGGGGCAGGCAGTGGCTGGACGTCTCCGATGAGGTGGCAGCCAGATATTGCCTGGGCCTTGCTGGGGATGTAGCTTCCACAGGTGGCTGGTGAATTGGTATTGCTGCTGCCAGGAGGCCTTTGGGCTGATCGTCTTAGATCCCATGACTCATATTCATCGAACCCCCTGAGAATATTCAGACAACACAAATCTGGTCCTTAGGACATCTCTAACCGTCTTCAAAGATAGGGTACACTAAAGAAACTCACGGTATAACAGCCCAACTCAGCAAACCGTGGACACCAAATGAAGGGGTGGCCTTTCCTGGGTCTAGAGGTGAAACTCTCACATTTCTAGGCATCTCTCTGCCATCCATTCCCCCTTGCCCATCCCTCTCCCTCCTCCACCTCCAGCTTCGTCTCATCGAGCTGAGTTGCCTCAGCCGGAAGCAAAACAAGTCTCCCTTTGCTTTGTGCCTTGGAGCCCAGTGGAACACACATGCTGTTTCCCTGTTTGACCACCCAAGATGTGCGGGTGCTGCTTGTGGATGGGCGCCATCAAGTCGGCTCCAGCAGAACGGAACACTGCCCAGTCCAGCGGCGCCCTCCCCGTTGTTATGCTGCAGCCAATGTTGGGACCGCTGCGTCCGTCCATCTCATCCAGAACCCTCCTCTTCTCCCTGCCCCTCGACTTTACCGAGCAGGATGTCCTTCTCTGGTCTCTCCCGCCATGTCCAAAGGACACGAGACGAGGTCTCGACATGACAGTCTTGTCTCTAAGGAGTGTTCTGCCTGTACGTCTTCCAAGACGATGTGTGGGTTCTTCTGGCACCATAGACCTTTCAGTAGTCTTTGCCAGTACCAGAGTTTCAAGTGCATCTGTCCTCTGGTCTTCCTCATTCCGTGTCTGGCTTTCACAGTAGAGCTGGAGGAAGTCCCCTCTGAGGATGACTGTAATGTCTAGGGTTGTGGCAAGGGACAGGGTCCTGGGCTGGGCTGGAGTGACTCTGCCAGGATGTCCCCCACTCACAGCGGGGGACTCAGACTCTGCTGTGTGGAAGAGAATGGTGAGAGCGGATTGGCCCCCATCTCCTGGTCTGTGTCTCTCAGGGTCGTCCTTGGGCTGGTGGGTCCGGAGCTGTGAAATGACACCACTGTAAGGCTAGAACAGCAGCTAGATGTGCCAGGGTCTGCTTGGGAGACCCAGGTTGAGGTCACAGGGGGAGTCTGGGAGGTGACTTGGGACAACTTTGAGACAGGAGGCTGTATAGAGCTCACCACCACCACAGCCTATTTAGTGAGTCCCTCCTCTGCTTTCTTCCTAAGGAAAGAGTGTCAACTGTGAGGCCAGACTGGGCCTCAAACCAGGACTCCTCAATCTCCCTCCTGGGGCTCTCTTAGTTTTCCTGGACCGTATTCCTCCTGTGTAGTGAAAAGGGGTAATGTACTCAGCGGGTAACTGAAGGATGGGGGGTTCAGTCCACCCAGAGGCACCTGGGAAGAAAGGCCTGGTGATCTCCTGGTGGAAACCAGCCACTGAAAATCCGGTGGAGCACAGATTGAGTCCGACACACAGGAGAGTGCCAGGGGGAGGTTCCCAAACCAAACTCACGGCCATCGAGTTGATGCCGACTCATAGGACCTGTAGGACAGAGAAGAACTGCTCCTGTGGGTTTCCAAGTCTGTAACTCTTCACGGAAAGAGAAAGCCTCATCCTCTCCTTCGAGCATCTGGTGGTTTCTAACCTCTGACCCTGTAGTTATTGGCCCAACACCACCTGGGCTCCTACAATTAGATGTCTCACTGCCATTGAATTGATTTCAACTCATAGCAACCCCACAGGGCAAGTTAGAACTGTCCCTATGGGTTTCTGAGACGGTAACTCTTGATAGGAGCAGAAAGTCTCATCTTTCTCCCTCCAAGCGCGTGGTGGTTTTGAACTGCTGACCTTGCAGTCAGCGACCCAATGTATAACCCACTATGCCACCAGGTCGTGGCAGATTCTCTCTTGGAGACCAGCTCGGTGAACTCCCACTGATAGAGAGGATCTGATAGAAAGGGATTAAGGCATCTCTGGTTGGGGATTGATGCTCAGAGCTCCTGGTTGTAACTAAGGCACAGGAGACTCACAGGGCCGCCTCCTGGATCCAGATGTCACAGGTAGAGGATGGCACCCCCCGGCAACTCTCCGAGAAGATAAGACAAAGGTAAGCCCTTTGGGAAGCAGGAAAAGAATGTAAGCACCTCTACTCAAGGAGCCCCGGTGGTGTGGTTGGTGAAGCTGACAGAGAGGTCTGCTCTCATAAAGATGTACAGATGTGGAAACACTAGGGGCCGTTGTAGTTTGCCCTGTAGGGTTGAGGGAGCAGGTCCTTGGCCCTGTGGGGTTATTTGAGTTGGAATCCTCTCGAAGGCTATGGGCTAGGTTAGTGCAGGATCATGAACTTCACTCCTAAGAGGCTCTCTAGGCTAAAACTCGACTAGTGTTGCTACAGCCCACTCCTTCCAGCCTTTTATGTTTATTGAGCCTCTACTATGTGCCAAACTTGGCTCCACGTTTTGGGGGATATCAGGCAAGGATCCACAATCATGGAGCTCCAGTGTGGGGTGCAGTGTCTTCTGCCTAGTGAGGAGGGCAGTGGGGGGTTCGACAGCTGGGGAGAGGGCAGAGGAGTGGGAGCCCCCATGTCCAACACTGGGTGTGGGAAGGTGCTGACCCCGACAGGAGATGCCCGACGCACCAACTGTGGCCTGTTGTGGCAGCTCCTGTTGCTGCCTCAGCTGGGGGCTCTGCTCAGACCCATCTCAGAAGCTGGGATCTGGTCCAGCTGGAAATCCCCTGTCTGCAATCCACCGAGCAGGGAGAGTGAGGTGATCGCTAGCTGGAGTTGTGTAACAAAGATGGTTCATGTGAAGGAACTGAAAATACAAGCATCCCTGGGAGAGCTTGTGGGGTCGGTTGCAGACCACACACACACACACACACACACACACACACACACACACGGTATGTTTGCACTCTAGTTTATTAAGGGTGCAATATTATTATGAAGAAGTTTGGAATATTACCAGAATTATCCAACTGTGACAGGCAGTTGGGAAAATGGCGCCAATGGCCTTGCTCGGATGGAGGGTTGCTGCAAACCTTCAATCTGCCTGCGCACCAAAGGGCAGTATCTGCGAGGCCCGAGGACATGAGGTTTGCCTGCGCAGTTGAGGATTGCGGGGAAGGGGAAGCCTAGGGCTGGGCTGCAGGTGAAGAGCCCAAAGATGTAATGATTGGGAAGCGGGGTGGGGGAGGGGTCCCAGTTACAAGGCTCATTCCAGGAATGAGCGCAGCAAGGTTTCTCGGGTGGCATCGTGGGTACAGTGGTTTGAAACCCCCAGCTGCTCTGAGGGAGAAAGATGAGACTTTCACTCTCCATAAAGAGTTCCCTATCGGACACTCACGGCGCAGTTCTGCTCTGTCCTATAGGGTTGCTATGACTCGAAATGAACTCCATGGTAGCGAGTTTGGTTTTTTGGTTTGGGCCTGGCAAGGAGCTCTGGTGGCATAGTGAGTTAAGTATTGGGCTGCTAACTGCGAGGTCAGAGGTTCAAACCCACCAGCTGCTGGGAAGGGCATGGGGGAGGATAAGGCTGTCTGTTCCCTGGAGGATTTCCAGTCTCAGAAATCCTAAGGAGCAATTCTTATCCACTCAATGCCAGTGGGGACCCCGGGTCAAGCACTAATAATTAAATGCATGTCCATGTTACATGTATCATGTTAAATATCAACATATCACTATATCCCATGTAAAATATAAATTCAAAGAGTACATGCTGCCAGGAAGGCAACGAAGAAGACATGGTGACATAAAATGATGGGGGCGGGGTGTGGGGGGTTGGAGGGACCTAGGCCGGTGGGTGAGTGATTTGTCAGGAGGGGGTTCACAGTGGGCAGTGTTGGGGGAGAGAGCCGCGCCGGCCTCCTGCAGCCCGTGCCCTTGCCGGTTGCAGGCATCCAGCCCGCGCTCTGGAGCCGGGAGGACGTCCAGCACTGGCTGCGGTGGGCGGAGCAGGAGTACTCCCTGCAGCGCACCGGCGGGCACCGCTTCCAGATGAATGGCCGAGCCCTCTGCATCCTCACCAAGGACGACTTCCGGCACCGCGCCCCAGGTTCAGGTCAGGAAACAGCACCAGCCTGCTCTAAAACGTGTTGATGGCAGGGCGCCCTAAGTTCCCCGCGGGGACTCAGGGAGGGGGCGCTGGGGGCAGCGTTGGGGTGTCAGGCTCACCTCCTAGTGTGGCAGGAAACCCCTCTCTCCTATACACGTTTGCTTGCTGGTTCCTAGCAGGAGAAAGATGGAGCTTTCTACTCCTGCAAACAGCACAGTGCCGCACACCCACAGGGGCTGTTCGACCCTGTCCTCCAGGGTCGCCAAGAGTTGGAATCGACTCTTGGCAGTGAGTTGGCTTTGGGTTGGCCTCATCTGTCCGTGAACCTCCCTCAGGGCAGCCCTCCCCAGACAAGGTTTCTCCCTTCTTATTTCCCATCCATGCCCTTCTCCCCTTCCCACTCCTACAATTAGAGAAAAATTTAATATCCATCCATAATGCAGTATAAACACTTGATATGGCTCAAGCCTGGCCTGCCGATGGGAGTTCTTATTTTAACCGGAAAACGAGGTCTGAGGCTAAAGATAAGACTCTCCCATGATGGTGTATCAAGCAGCAGTGTTTGGAGGGGAGGGGTGGAGCCGGGCAACGGAGCCCTCCTGGACTCCATCCCTGCTTCACAGTTAGCCTGTCCTCTGGTGGCTCTCAGTGACCACCTAGTGGGCATACGTTCTTTACCTGAGTCAACATTGACTCGATGGCAGTGGGTTTTTTATTTTTTTAATTTTGGTGGGACATAAAGTGCCCCACTTGCACTTTCCACCTCTGATGTTTAGTGGGAAGTACCTGTCCCACTTAGAGTATGTGTGGCCTATTGCCTTGTGTAACTGGTGAATTTGAAGAAGTGCCCTCTCATCATCCCTAGTGACCCCTTAGGATATATGTGCCCCACTGATTTGTATCAAAATCCCTATTACCTAAAAAAAAGTTTTTTTTTTCCTATTACATTCAAGATGCCTCCCATTAATAAAAACATGTCCTTTCAACAAAAAACTCAGAACAGAAAACAATTGGACCTGAAAGGGTTAAATAATGCTCATTTGTTTTCCATACAGACCTCCTTTGGGGCAGATGAGCCCAGGGTGCACCTGGCCAAGGGAGTCCCTTACATATTTGGATCTGCTTTCTTTCTCCAGACACGCCCACAGCCAGGCTCATACCACATCCCAGGTTCTATCACACACTGTCCCCTGTCACCCTCCCCAAGGGGCTGCTGGGACTTAAGTCCTGGATGTCAGAGCTCAGGTGGGAGGGAGGTAGACAGAGGCAACAAGCTGTCTCTGGATAAAGCCTTCCTGACACCCAGGACAGTCCATCCAGAGGCAAAGCTGGGGGGCAGGGGGAGCTTGGGTCTGGTCTCCTTCCTCCCCTGTTCACCTCCCCTGCTTCCTCCAAGCACTGCCTGCATCTTAGCCCTCTGGCTGCTTGGATCCCCAGGATAGCTTTCCACTAAGGGATCCCCTTCCTTCCCCTCCTCAGCAGCATGTAAGCCAAAGGTGTGAGTCGAGTTCAGGGAAATTTCTGGGCCCATGAACCCCAACCCCACCCTCCAAAAAAAGTAAAAATAAAAAAGAACAAACTCACTGCCGTCAAATCCATGCTGACTTATAGCAACCCTATAGGACAGGGTAGAGCTGCCTCTGTATATTTCTGGGACTGTAACTCTTTATGGGAGTAGAAAACCTTGTCTTTCTCCTACGGAGCAGCTGTGGGTTTCAAACTGCTGGCCTTGTGGTTGCCAGTCCAATATGTAACCAGGGCTCCCCAGGCTCATGGATGTAGCTCCTCAAATCTTGCCTCGTAGAAAGAGGCAGCTCCTGTCTCCAAATGCCGAGGCATTGGAACTAAGTGTCAAGGACCGTTTTGCTCCTTAGAAGGCAGGGCCAGTCCTTTCAGAAAGCTCTGGGAATCCAGCGAGCTTTAGAAGAGCTGTCTCCACCCTCAGGGACGCGGGCAGTATGTGCACTGCACACTGGCCTGGTGAGGGTTGAGATGATGCAGCCTGACCCAGCCAGCAAGGGATGCTGCCTTTTATGTTTACCCACCAGAGGGCTGATGGTGGCCCTGCCTAGGTAGCCCCATCCCCCTAGGACCTGTATCTTCCTGCTGGGTCAGTAGCCTGCCCGCCGGCCCCCTCTACAGGTGACGTCCTGTACGAGCTGCTCCAGTACATCAGGACCCAGCGGCAAGCCCTGGTGTGCGGGCCCTTCTTTGGAGCCATCTTTGGGCAGAAGACGCCAGAGCAGCAGCCCCCTGGCACCGTGCAAGGTGAGGGGGCTTTTCTGTGGAACTATGAGACGACCCCCACCCCATTGGTCTCAGTCAGGGAACAGGGCTTCTCTAAACCTCGTTCAAAGGGAGGCCCTCCGTCGCCACTTGTTGGGACACCCTGCTCACCTTTCCATTTCTCTGCTCTCCTCAGCAAAGCATCCTCTTTGGCAGCTCCACGTCCTCACCCGCCCCCCGCCCCCCAGTCTTCCCCTCTGCCTTTCTGTCTCCCTGTGTCACTTCAGTGGCTCTTGTCCAGGTCTCCAGGGACCCGGATGGAGGCATCTTTATGAGTGTGACCCCTGGATAAACTCCCCTCCCTGAAACTCTTCCTTCTCTCTGCTCCCCGTGACACCCCATTCTCTGGCTTTTCTTTTAACTCAGCCTCCTGTGCTGGTGTCCCCCCTTTTCTGTTACTTGGAAGCACTGGGGTACTCCAGGGCTCAGGGAACCTAACCGAGCCCACCCCTATCTACACCCAGAGCTACAGGGTGAGCTCATGTGCCAATGATGCCCACTTTCGGGTCTCTGGCCCACTTCTCTCTAAACTCCAGACTCGTGTACCCCACACTGGATGCCCTGTGTGCCCGTAAACTGAATGTCTGAGGTCCAACCTTCCCAGGCCTACCCAACACTGCCCTTCTCTCAGCCTCTCCCATCTCAGCTAATGGCAGCTCCCGCTTTCTGACTGCTCAGGCTAAAGCAATGGCAGCTCAATGCTTCTTCTCTCCCACCCCTTGTCCCACAGCCCTCCCCGCCCCCCATCCCAATGACCAGCAAGTTCTGTTGGCTCTCCCTTAACACTCTCTCCTGCAGCCAAACCCTTCTCACACCTCCATTGCTGCCCACTGTGGTCCAGCCCCGGTCATAGTCACCACTTGCCTGGAGGGACACAGCAGCCTCCTCAGTGGTCTTCCTGCTTCTGCCCTTGACTCCTGATGGTCTGTTCTCAACACAGCAGCCAGGGGGATTCTTGTGTAGAACTTCGCTGCTCACATCTCCCAAGGGCTCCCATCTGACTCAGAGCCATGGTCACAGTCCTCACCCTCGAGCCTTGTCTTCCTCTCTTGCTGTGGTCTTCCAGCCACATGGGAATCCTCGTCCATGGAACAAGCCAGACACTCCTGCCTCAGGGCCTTTGTACGTGCTATCCGGCTTCACTCCTCTCCTCTCCTCTCTTTTCCAGACATCACATACTTGATCTTTCTTCCTTCTTCAGCCCTTGTTCAAACGTGACCGTGGCACCGAGGCCATCACTGGGCAACTGTTCTAAAATGGCAGCCTTTGCTGCTGCCCCAGCATTCATGCCCACCTTCCTTTTGGCACTGTATCCCCCCCCCCCC